ACAATTAAGAGATTTAGTAATTTGACTAATGGATATCAAATTAAAAGGGAATTGAGGAATATATAATACAGAGGAAAGGGACATAGAAGAGGTGAGTTGGGTGGTTCCCACACCCAAAACTTTAGTGGAGGAGCCATTAGCAAGAGTAACACTTTGAGAGGAAGGAACAGACTGAAAATCAGATAAGAGATGAGGACTACCAGTCATGTGATCGGATGCGCCAGAGTCAAGAATCCAAGGACTCTGACGAGAGGATAAGAGACATGCAGGTGCACTACCTAATTGGGCAAAGGAAACCATGGAAGATGAGGTTGAAGGCCGTTGTTGAGACATAAACTGAGCGTACTCATTGCGGGAAATTGTCATGGTGACCATAGCAGGCTCAACAGCCACTTGTGGAGCAGTTGGTGTGGCAGAGAAAATAGAATCCCCTTCATTAGAGGTTACTTGATGTGCATAGGAAGAAGGTGGTGGTTTCCTATGAAGATCCCAACAGTGATTGACAGTGCGATTAGTAAGACCGCAGTGAGTGCAGAGTTTTGAGTCTCTGCCTCTGCCACGACCACGGCCACGACCACGTCCACGGGTAAAACGACCGCCATTGCCACGAGAAGGCTGATAACCACCCTGGTTCACAACTAATGCAGAACGTTCACTGCTATGAGGAGCAGTGACACTACTTAAAGCACTCCCGGAAGCGCCACTAGATAAACTAGCACACTGGAGTCTGGAGAACATATCATGAAGAGAGGGAAGTGCAGGGCTACCCAAAATCTGTGCACGAATAGATTCGTATTCGGGTGACAAGCGCGTGAGAAACCAAACAGCATTAAAATCCTCACGTTGTTGTTGCATGCTCTTCACATCAGAGGTGATAAGCTGATACAAGTTCATTACTTCACAAATTCCCATTGACTGGGAGAAGTATTCTGCGAGACTGTGAGTACCTTGCCGGAGGTCAAAGAATTGTCTGCACACCTCATAAATTCTGGTGATATTACCAGTACTTGAATATAGCTGTTGGAGGCGATTCCGGATCTCTTTGGCAGTATCCAAATACAACAGGTTGGAGCTAATATCGGGTTCAATACAATTCAGCATTAAGGAAATGATCCAAGCATCCCTTTGTTCCCATGAACTGAAATCTGTATCACTGTTTTTAGGCTTATCCTTAACCAAATGAGAGCCAAAGCCTTTGGCTTTCAGAAAAATAGCTACTGACTTGGCCCATAAAATATAGTTCTTGCCATTGAGCTTAACCGAAGTCATGGGAGGATTAAAAGAAGCAGAAGAAAACAGGTCTGAACCGGCAGCCATAGAGAAGGAAAGAGAGAAGAAAACCGAACCTGAAGAAAAAAAAAAAAAACTGAATCCGGATCCGGGCAGACGAGCCGGATCTGATCAAACGGGCCGGATCTGGTCAACTGGGCCGGATCTGGTCAAACGGGTTTGAATCTGGGCAAATGGGCTAAATCAAAACCAGTTCTCTGCTATTCCGGTTTTTATAAACCAAGGTTGGGATAGCTTCACGCCTGCAGCCAAACACCACCCTTCTCCTTCACAACCAGCGCCGGCGAGAACCAGAACTCTGCCACCGCCACCGACAATAAACTCCAACACCTGAGGTTCGCAATGGAGAATCAAGGCTAGTACACACCCTAGCCCTTGCAGCGGTGACAGTAACCCAACACCAGCAGCAATCTAACAACCGAGCAGAGAGGGTTCGCGATGATAGAACCTCTGTAACTTGTGACAGCCAAGGCAGCCTCGGCCAACAAAATGAAGGGCTTTAGATTTGAGAACGACGGACAAGAAGCGTTGACACAACGACAGCTTCAAACCTCCGGCTCTGAGCAGAACGACGGCGAAACCTTCGGCAAAGAACATAATCGACTTCAATTTGTAGAAGAACACCACAGATGCAATCACAACCACAAACTTAGTTTCCCATTGTTTCGTACCGCTCTGATACCATGTTCAAACTGAAGAGAGAGAGAGAGATCATGGTGGCTACAGGAAACGTGTATCTCATATGTATAAAACCCTAAGCCTACAGTGGCTTATATAAAGATATAAGACTCAGCTAATTACACAATGACCCTACCAACAATATGCAATTACATAATGACCCAAAATATTCTAATAGTGATCAAATGGTTTTAGAATTAATGAGTGTGATAAATGTGTTTATGTGAAAAATACTCAAAATGGATATGTCATTGTGTGCCTATATGTGGATGATATGCTAATATTGGGTAGTAATGATATTACAATCAAAACTACTAAAAAGATATTGATCAAAAATTTCGATCTGAAAGATTTAGGCATAGCTGATGTCATACTAGGAATAAAGATTTCTAGAACATCAGATGGTCTAGTATTATCTCAATCTCACTATATTGAGAAAATATTAGAAAAGTTTAATAAAGAAGATAGTAGTCTTGTAAAGACTCCTGTTGATGTAAATCTTCTTTTATCGAAAAATACTGGTCTTAGCATATCACAACTTGAGTATTCTCGCATTATAGGAAGCTTAATGTATTTAATGAATTGCACACGACCAGACATAGCATACTCAGTTAATAAATTGAGTAGATATACAAGTAATCCAGGAAAGAACCATTGGACTGCAATAATCAGGGTTCTAAAATATTTAAGATATACCTACCATAAGTTATGGATTACATTATTCTAGATATCCAGCAGTACTTGAAGGATATAGTGATGTTAATTGGATATCAGATACGAAGGATTCTAAATCCACTGATGACTATGTCTTTAGTATTGGAGGGGGTGCCATATCTTGGAAATCTTTAAAATAGACTTGTATTGCCAGATCCACTATGGAATCTGAATTTATTGGTTTGGATAAAGCTGGTGAAGAAGCTGAATGGCTTTGTAATTTTTTAGAAGATATTCCAAATTGGCCTAAACCTGTGCCCTCTATATGTATACATTGCGATAGTCAATCAGCAATTGGAAGGGCACAAAGTAATATGTAGAACGGTAAGTCTTGACATATACGTCGACGAAATAATACCGTTAGACAATTGCTCTCAAGTAGGATAATCTCAATAGATTATATCAGGTCAAAAGATAATTTAGCGGATCCGTTTACAAAAGGTTTGACAAGAGAGCAAGTGTATAGTTCATCAAGGGGAATGGAATTAAAGTCGAAAGCTAACGAGTCATCTTAATGGAAACCCAACCTAGTTAACTGGAGATCCTAAGATTTAGGTTCAAAGGGACAACAGAAATTCTGAATGGCTCACCAGAAGCACTGGGAAGATTTAATCTTCAACCCATTACTATGATGAGACAGTGTTACCTATAGCGATGAGTAGGATAAGCTATGCTTTTAATGACTCTTATCCCTTGAAAATTCAAGTGGGGTATAGTAGGATAATCTTAATAAGAAGTCACCTATATGAGTGTGAAGTGGGGCCACTTCTATGAGAACTTCTAAGGCTAAGTTTTCTAAAGCACTCATGAAATACCAGGAGTTGTTCAGGGCCATATGAACACAACTATGAGAACCAACTTTGTGCGGGAAGGAACTGTGTGTTTGCTATTGTATTGGTTTACATCAACGGCTGAACAGTTTAAGACATCATATTCACTAGTTAACAAGTAAATCCGATAGTAATACACTAGGGAAGGTTCAGGCCAAAAACTACCTATCCCGATGCAGTTACTTTTCAATAGTACTCTCTCTAGTGTCTGTATCTTCTTCATTTGCAATTTACACAAATTTCCATTCATGTGGGGGATTGTTGGAAACGGGGGCATTAAAACATAAACTTTGGATGAGATTTTGAATAGATTCCGCTAAGAATTGTTTGCGAATCTATAGACGAGCGCGTTCCTCTCCGCAAGGAGATGAAAGTGGTATATTTACTTTCTCAAATCCGTTTCTGGGTGAATGAGAAATTAGCTCCAAAGTAAGGTATTTGATAAGCCTAAATGGGTTTGCAAAATGTGGGAAATGTTTGTCCCGCATCGGAAAAATATTAAACCCTAAAGGCACCATGAGGCCTATATATACCCTCCATTGGGTTCATTCCAAAGCACTCCAATTCAGAATCTTTTTCTGTAATTCTGAATTCTCTCCTTCCTCTTCTTTTATAAGTGTCTATGGGTACTAACTCTTGTCTTTGGGTTTGAGCCTTAGTCAATCACTCCTAGTCTAAGTTTAATCAGAAAGTACTACATCGAGCCGGTTCGCCTACTACCGAAGGAAGTAAAAATTGTTGTATCTTGGGAGATAGACGCCACTGAGTCCGTTAGCACCATAGCGGGGTGAATCTATCTTAAGGACATAGAATCAAATTCTAGCCTCGACTTATTTCTAGATTCTTTTATTTTTGTTTTATTTTATAAGATATTATATATATAGATTATTATGTTATAATAATAATTATATATATACACACACATTATATTTATGCATAATATTTAAATAGTAATACTATAGCGTATGGTATACTTAAACCATATTTTTGGACTACATAAACCTGGTTATTACATTTTAAATTTTATCCTGGTACTCAAAAATATTTTTTGTTATATAATGTTTATTAGGGAAAGTGTAAAGAGAGAATAGAAAAAATAATTGAAGTATTTATTATGATTGAGTAGCCTAGCTCAAATTGAAGTGTTATCATCTCTCTCTCTCTGTCTCATGCACATAAATTTGGCGTAATGTGGTCACTAGCCTGTCAAAAAAAATAATAAAAATAAAATAGAATAAAATAAGGTGAGCCTGTCAATATTACCATGTGATCCGTATCAGGGTTTTAACAACCATGCATGGGTAACTGGGAGGGGTCTGTTGGTACATTCACAAGCGTTTATGTTTTTTTAGTTTTTGTTCTAGAAATTGTATATACTCTCTGGTTGCAACTTATGCTGTAAGGGTTCAGCTCGTAAAAGTTGCATAAAATGTAGTGTGTTTACTTTTTCAATGGCCGGTAAGTACATTTATTAATTCATTTCTGCAGGCCATGGGTTGTAAGTGAAAATTCATTAAGGCATGGAACTTTTAGAACCACATTTGGGAGCTTGATGCCAAAATCTCAGGTAAGAAAACTTCTACTATTGCACTGGTAAAGGATTATGGTGGATGATTGGGAAAGAGAAGCGGTTTTAAAAAAAAAATTTATATGGGGTGAGGGGGAGGGAGGGTGTATTACATTCGTTACACATGGATTTGAAAATTTCATATGATAGGCTCCACTCAGAAACTCAAAACCATATGAACATCTTGATTTAATGATTTAAACTTCAATTAAATTTATTTCTCATGTGATAATTTTTTGGGAGGTAGATGGTATCCTATAGAGGTTTTAGTATCATGAGATCCACAGTAATTTTTAGAAAGAGTTAGCAAGAATTATCAGATGACAGGCCTTACTTAGCAGTCAGGTTTCTTAATTTGATAATTTAGTTATTTTTTATTTTATTTTTTAAATAAAAATAAAAATTCCGAACAAAAAATCTATGGATGGCTTAACTTACCAAAAAATAAAAATCAATGGATGGTGTTATCAGTGTCCAGAAAGAAATGGGGACAGTGTAAAATAAAAATCTGCAGAGGAATAAAAGCATTTGGATATGGTCAATTTACATACTTCTTTTTGGAATGTGTTAATAACAAATTTTAATATGAAAAGAAATAAAGAAGCTATGGGAGCTGCTTCTAGGTGGAATACTGAGGCTACTAGCCCCATATGTTATTGTAAGATTGATCATTGATTAGGGAGGGAGTGAAGCTGGTAATTTTTCATGATGGAGCAGAAAAAAATGTTTTGATAAATTTACAACAGGGGTATGAGTTGATAGAAAGACCTGCCTAAATGGGAAACACAATTTTATAAGAGTTAACTATTCTTTTGCATATCAATTGTGGACTTTGTATTTTTCTGGTAATGATTTTCAGCATTTACTTTTTGCAGTATAAAATTCAGAAAAAGATCATTGATGATGAGTTGAAGATCATTCATTCAGGAGCTGAAGAGCACAGTACAGCTGAACGTTTGAGGGATTTATACAAGGACTTTGCAGATCATCAAATTCGACTTCACATGAGGTTTGCATTGGATGAAAGGAAGATCTTGGCGGAAAGCAAGATCTTGAAGTCATCCCGCAATTGTAAGATTAAACGTGAGCTCTAGTGAACATGTCAACACATGAAGGTAATGAATTGGATTTGTCGTACCTGTTTTAGTAATTGGTCTTAATTGATGATCTATACAATTGTGAGACACTACATGTATGATATGACCTCTAAGAACTTTGGTAACATCTATCATCTCAAAATGTGAATTTAGTGTAACAAATAAATGGTGGGAGGCCAATGATAGAAATGAGTCAATAAGTTCAGCTCATTTACCTTTAATGGAGAGCCTTTCATGTAGTTCTGGTAGGTTGGACGTCCCTGACCTTCTTACATAAAGGCCCTCATTTTTTTTTTTCTTTTCGAATTTGTGATGCCAGTAAATGGCTATCTAAAGAAAGAGAAATGATACCTTTGTGTGTACATCCTACACTTGCCATTCTGCAGATTTTATTGGTCATGGAAGGTGAAATATAAAGTTGCACAATGAAAATTTTCCAATAAAGAAGAATTTAATTTTACTTGGATACAGAGCCAAAGGTTTTATATTTTTGTCCTCTCAGCATTTTAACATCAGTAATATTAGTATTAACGCCCTCGTTTTCTTCTTGTGTTTATAGATTGATCAGAATGTTCGATCTCCAAGTCACAAAAGATGTAGTTTAGTTTGCAATCAGGCAGAGACGAACTGTGGGCTCATGCAAGAAGTTTTTTGTTGGTCTATCATCTTTGTTGACATTGCCTTTGTAGTAAATTCTGCAGCTTAGATACCCATGAATCTATACCTTGTTAATATCGCCCTTTCAATGTTATAGTAGCTAGTTAGCATGACTGTGTTGTTGTTTGTATGTGATGAGAATATGAGGGGGTTGTGTTTTGTTTTGTAATTTTTACAGAATAGTCTGTTTAAAGATCACCATCCTGCGTGTTAAAATTTAGAACCTTTTCTGGGGATTTCTTTCTATTGTAAAAAGGTTGGGGCTGTTCACTTGAGCAGAAATGTAAAGTTGCACTTTTCTCTCTCCATTTCTTTTGGGACTGTAGGAGTATGAATGTGAGAGATGTAAAGTTAAAATGGGATTGATGAGGGTACCACCCAAAAGCCTACAATGATGTGGGTAATTTTGTCAATTAACAATATAATTTTCAATATAAGTACCACCCTAGTTTTAATATAATTTTGTCAGGAGTGTGGGTGTAATTTATCCTAATGTCAATATAAGTACCGCTCAAAAGCAAAATAATGGTACTATAGGAGGTGCATATGTATATAATGATTTTAAGGGAATTATTGTGGTGGTAAATTTTGAGCCAGTATGCCACAATATAAAAGTATGACGGTTCAGTTCTCTCCTGATTTTAAAATAAATTTTTTTAGGAACTTTCAAATAACATTTCAAATGAGGAAATGAATAATCATAATAAAAAAGGAATTAAATATTAATTAAGAAAATCTGATCTAGTTTTTATAAAAACTAAAGTCACGTGATAATTCAGGGTCACACTTTAATGCATGCTATGGTTGGGATGCATTGGGCCAGCATTAGGCTTCAAATGCTGGGGCTCACAAGCATTTTTCTAGAATACAATTGAGACTTATCAAACTCTCACCGGTGCACCATGGGTGAGTCAGGCGACTCCAGACGTCAATTATTTGACGTCGCAATTGTAGTCAAAGTTAGTTTTTAATTTTTGGGATCAATTGGGTTCTTAAAGCACTTCATAATTTACAATCCCACACATAATAATCTCCTATTTTACATTCACCAAAACTTTCAAGATGTTAGGTGTGATTCTTTGCATATGGGCTATTCCCTTGCCGTTAAATTAGGCTCAACTTGACTTGAAGCATATTATCCTTACCATCTCTATTCCATTTTAATGGTCTATTTTTGGGAGATGATCATTTTTATTATTTTTATTGTATAAATAATAAATAAATTATCAAATTTATTCTTATGCCAGTCTGTTGTAAATGAATTATTAAATTTATTTTTAGGTGAGTCTGCATTAATGTAATGATTTACAATGAAATCCTATATCTGTCCCATATTAGTAGTTCACTGTCTCATTTTTAGATATCCCAAATTAGTTGTCCACTTTGAAAAGTTAACGCAAATAAATCTTATTTTTCTAACATTATTCTTTATATTTTCAAAAAAATTTAAACTTGATATCTATACTTATCTAAACTAAAAAGAACATATTGATAATTTTAAGTGAGTATAAATTTCATGTCTCTTTAAAAATTTTAATTTTTAAACATGAACATAGAAACGAGTAATTATTTTGAGACTGATAAAAATAAAAAAGGTAATCAATTATTTTGGAATTGATAGAACCAAGTATATACTTCCTGAATATATGTCCGGTTTGGGGCTGTCACTTGTCACTTTGTTCTTGTCGTCAAGGTAAAAAACCCAGAAAGTCAAAACTAAACCCCATGTTCATTTTGAGTTGTTTGTCACTTCGATTTCTCCTAAAGTTTTCAAGCTCTGCTAACTTTTGTTTTAGTTGTCTCATCAAATTCCCCGAGCTTCACAAATTTTGAGGTAATTAATCACTCAAAATGTTCCTTATCTGATTTACTCTCTTTCATGAATATTCAATATAACAGGTTCTCTTTTTTTTGTTCCCCACAATTTTACTTATTATCCTTTTCCCCAATATGTAGATCCAATTGTTATTACAGTTATTTAGATTCTATATTCTTTATGTTTCAAATGTATTGTTCTAATTTCTATTGGTACAATATGTTTGATTCATTGTGTATTTGAATACAATGTATTGATGATTTATGTTATATTGGTACAGATGGGAAATGGGGTTTTGAGATGTGTAATTATCTTAATGGTGTTGATTTTATCGATCATTCGCGGGGCGGTGGGCGTTAGGTTTGTGATTGATAGAGAAGAATGCTTCTCTCATAATGCCAAGTACGAAGGTGATATTGTTCATGTTTCTTTTGTGGTGATCAAGTCCAACATGCTGTGGCATCAGAGTGATGATGGTGTTGATCTTGTGGTAATTTTCATTTTCCCCGCGATTTTGTTTTACACTATTCTGTTTTTTTATTTTATATATCACTATGTTGCTACTCAAATTATATGTCCTGTGGCCACTTCTACATTGGACATGATTTTGTTTATCATTACATAAGGAAATTGTTGTAGATTATTGTTAATGCACTATCAGATGAGGTATAGAACATTATAGTGTGACTTTTAGAAAGTGTTTGTTGAGACTATGAAATAGAAGTTGGGTGATTTTGGAGCTGAGAGATGATTATTTTGGAGAAACAATTAGGTTAATGCAGCAAGCTTTGTCGAATTGAATTCTGTCCGGCTTATTTTTCTTTACTTCAATTATATGTTCGAAGAATATTTGAAATTATAGCCACCTGTTTGTTTAATTATTTGCTTGTTATTGAATGAATATTTAGGAAAATTTAGGTTGTTAAGTTTTATAATGCTTCTGTTATTGATTATGCCATTGTATCTTTTTATTCTTCACTGAATTTCTAAATTAGGTTGTTTTCTTTCATATACTAAAGATCCTGTTTTATATTTTAGTTATACAACTTTTCTGTTTGAACTCCAAGGAGATGGACTCTCAACTCAAATCTTGGAGTTTAGAAGTTCGAATCCCCTTAGGGCCATCTTAGGAGAACTTTCCGGTAGTTACCCTGTGCATGTGGGACAGGGGATTGCGTGTGCCCGGGGGTGGATTATGGGGTGTTCTCAGAGGCCAGACATCACTATCGTCAACAAAAGGAAAAAAAAAAAAAAAAAACTTTCCTGTTTGTCTTGCATTTCAATGTGGTTCCTTTGTTTGTTTCTAGTCCATAGCAACTAGTAATCTGTATTGAGACTATTTGAGTGAAGATTTTGAGATTATGAGACAAATTTGCAGATAGGCATTGATGTATTAACAGTTATATTTAAGCATTAGAGGTTAGGTCACATATTTGTCAACTTACTCTTTGGAGGCTCTAGACAAACTGAGTGAAATTTGAAAATTGTTGGGATAAGAATAGTGGATGACAAAGAAGAAGTGAGAAGTTTTTGAAGTGGAGGATTGAAGAAGGTGGAACTCAGTGCCTCAATCATTGAACTTTAGGTAGGTTGTAATTAAGACCCGCCTTGAAGGTTAGGAGTTCAACTCCTGATGGCAACACTGTGCATAAATATGGTATCCTTGTCACATGATAGAAAACTTTAGCTCGTCCATCAAGTCAGTTTTTGGAGTCATCTTCCCTAAAAATCTTGAATTTTTTCTTTGGAAGCAATCTTTTCAAAGAGGTGATTGTTAAACAAATAGGTTAGTATAGAGATTGGAGAGGTTTATAGAATGAACTTGAAGTTTTGATAGTTTATTTTTAAGAATAATACTTGCCTCCTTATACTTGATTAATTATAAAATTTATGTTACAAGGTGTCCTTTAAAATGTTAAAATAATAAACAAAAAATAGAAAGGAAAACAACAATTGGTTAGTCTTTTTAATTTGGTCCAGTTATATTATGACATGTTAGCTACAAGGGGGTTATCTCATTATAGGGTTGGAGGCAAGTAGTTTCTTATTTTTAAAGACCTCTTATTTTCCTTGTCATATTATGATTTCCTGAAAGTCCATTAATAAAGATAAACACTTGGTATAATTTTAGAATTCGAAGTTTAGATGGGATTCCATGTGTGAGTGAGGGAGAGGGAGAGAGGCAGAAAAAGAAAGATCAAAAGGAATATTTCTGGTCAAAACATGAATTGTTCCACTTTTAATTACGAGAGCTTGCATCAAGGTTGAAATATGAGACTGTAATGCCTATACTTGATTTTCTAGTTTACAACTTCATGAATTGATTCACATTAGAGGCTTGCACTGAAATGTTCGTATTTTAGCAATTTTTAGCCTTGTTGACACGCCCATCATATTTGTAGTTGAACAAGTTTCCTAGTCTATAGTTCATAAATGTAGTTGCAAGGCCTGTAAGAATCCCAGAATATGCTACTTTTTTCCCCCCGATTGGTATTATTTCCTTCTTGTAAAAATTTCCGTGAACCTAACCACACACACAAGCACACATTCACGAAAAAAATGCAATTGTAATGTATTTGCACTGTGAACACAGTAGTTTCATATTTCCTTTTCTGATTCTCTGATTTTACTGGTTCTTCCTTTTATCATAAATTTACCATTAATCCTGCAATTGAATTGAAATTATCAGATAAAGGGGCCTTCTGGTGAGCAGATTCATGATTTCCGTGACAAGACTAGTGAGAAGTATGAGTTTATGGTTCAGAAGAATGGCCTCTACCAATTATGTTTTACTAACAAGTCTCCTTATTCTGAAACCATAGACTTCGATATACATATTTCCCATTTTTCATACCACGATCAGCATGCAAAGGATGGTAAGGAATCATCTGAGGCAGTTTGTCTTAAATATCATCTACACTTTTGTTTCCTGTTGAATAGTGAGATTCTTGTGAATGATTGCAGAACATTTCGACCCCTTGTTGGAACAGATCTCAAAGTTAGAGGATGCTCTTTATAACATCCAGTTTGAACAGCATTGGTTAGAGGCTCAGACCGACCGCCAGGCAATAGGTATCTATTAAGCAAGTCTGTATTGTTTTTAATTAAAAAAATGAAAAAAGAACTGTGGTTCCTGTTTGAACTGTAAAGGAGGCACTTCATTGGCTGGAGTGGTTTTCCCTTTGAGGACCTGAGGTCATGTTATAGCCTATGTTATATGGATTCTCGAGTGAGTCTGTTGGGTGTGGTTATTGTGTCTAAATAACGTGTCTAAATATCGGATAATATCAGATCTCCAAACAAATGGACACAGGGACATGGCTGGATATTCATGTTATTTAATATTTTCTTTTACATTTTAGAGAACAAAAAAGTTTTCGTGTGAGAAAGTGTTCAACATAGGTATTACACTAATTTTGAAGCAATAATATAATACAAAATTGTATTATATGCTTTTTAGGTGTATGTCCAACCAAATGTGTTGAACACGATCCCACACCCATGTCCTAGTATCGTGTGTCTGACACAGGCACCTTGCGTATTTTGAAGTGTCCATGTAATCTCCTAAATGAAGCAATTTCATTCATATGCCAAAAATTATCAGATCATTTTTTACTAGTTCAAAAGTATCTCCATTCTAAGCACAGTTACTTGTCTACTGTCTCTGTGTGTGTATGTGTGTGTTGGGGGGTTGGGGATGGGTTTGTAGTTTCTGGGAACCATTTTAACTTATACCACGGGTGTGCATTGACAGATGCACAGGTATTATGGTGAAATCAAGTTAACCTCTGACGGGGGCACATCAAGAACAACCTTGCACTCGATCAAACAGGATTTCTTGGTTTTGTTTATGAATAGATACTTTTTAGCCTATGAAAAGAACAAAACTTCTACTTCAGTACTTTTTATGTTTGTCCATTATTCAAATTAATTGCAAAAATAAAAAAATGTGTCCATTATTCAACTTAATTGCAAAAATGTTGGAACCAACAATCTTGCAAGTTCATTAACCTTGGAATTCAATATTTTCCAACTGGAGTGCAGTGAATGAAGGAATGAGTCAGAGGGCGATTCAAAAGGCAATGTTCGAAGCAGCAGCACTGATCGGGGCTAGTGTCCTCCAAGTCTACCTCCTGAAACGCCTGTTTGAACGAAAGCTTGGCACATCCAGAGTTTAGATTTTCTACTATCTTGGCTATTTATCTGTTGTAACATCTTCAGCTTGAAATGTCAATGGGGGAGGCATTTGTTTCCATTGTTAAATAGATTTCTAGCACATTTAAGCCAAGAGTCGGAGTTAGGTGGATGCTTCAAGATCAGGGGTTCATCATACATGTGGCCATCCAGGCTGTTGGCAATCAAAACGGACTGTATTTTTAACTTTCTATTTTGGTGTCGTATGACATTTCTGAGTTTCTTTTCATCACCTAGCTGATTTTTATTTTTTATTTTATTTTACCTATTTATTTTGGAGGGAAGAGGGGGAAGAGGGAGGGGGGTTGAGCACCCAAGTTCCACATTGTAACTTATTTTTATTTTTTAAGGAAGGGGGAAAATTCTTTGCAATATTAATCGGTAGAGAAACACCAACTTTTAGTCTCGTATCCCCAATGGGATCGCTTTAATGGCAAAGACTTTCACCCCCAATAGGATCGCTTTAATAGCAAAGACTTTCACCTCACATTCATTGAGAGTTTGAATCCCTCTTAATGGGCCCCTCCTAGTCTCTTATCCCCAATGGGATCACTTTAATGGCAAAGATTTTTACCTCACATCTATCGAGAGTTTGAATCCCTCTTAAAGGGCCCCTCCTAAGAAGTTTTTTCAGTAATTGCACGGTGTCTCGATGGAGGGATGGATGCACCCTGATTTGCTTGCTAAGTGATGGCGCAAAATCTCTTTTGTCCTGTTTGGTTTATGAAGATATTATAAGACAGTTTGGAAGCGGCCAAATGGACCCCGGTTGGAAATAAGATCCCCATTGGCCATGACAGTTTCACATGATCAACTTCAGCTTTGCAGCCTAGATTATTCAGCAGCACAAGAGGGTACCAATATCCTCAAAGGACCAACATATATGCACAATACAATCAAATAAATTTCATAATTTCATAAATCAAATTATCACAAAAACATGTTGCAGCTGATAATGGTAAAAAGATTGAACACGGGAATCAAAAAGCAGAACTAAGCAGTAACACCCACAATCATACAAAAAACGCATCATATTGTTTTTATATCATTTTGCTAATAAAACGCAATCAAAATCAAGTTTTTATATCACACCAAAACGGATTCCAGCATGACCCATCACAGCTTGACTAGAGCTCCAGTCTTCTGGAATATATATTGGGCCAGGGCATAGATGAATAAAGCTTTCCTGTTAATGCCCATACCAGGTAAAGTGCCTCATGGTTCTGCAGAAGCAGATTGCATGCAGCAAAACCATTTTTTCTGCAAATCAATGGAGTTAAATAATCAGAAGTAATTATAATCATGGGCTATCATAGGGAAAAATGCAGTTCTATCAATTTAACCGATCACCACCAATTATATAGAAACCTTCATGAATTCACCATCCATACCAAGCCAGCAAACTTGGCCATGAAAATCATCTCAACCAGCTCGATATTTGTCATTCGATCACAGATCTTTAAAAGAGACTGAGTTTCACATGTTGTAAAACCATATACATGATCAGGTTAGCACGGTGCAAGTTTCAACAATTTAGGAACTGTAGGAGGACAAAACAATATGGATTTTGGGAGCATGTCAGGGAACTTGCTGGGAAGAACTATGGAAAAAAAAAAGAAGTGAATTTGAAGGAAAGAAAAGTCATTAAGAACTTATAGGGAGGATGCACTGTCATTATAGAATAACCATTTGGAATTTCCCAAGAATTTCACTGATAATTAGACCAAGGATAATATTAAAACTTTTAGGAATTTAGTGTATTGAATGGAATAAATATGGTGTTTTTAACTTTTATAACAGTTGGAAATACAGTATGCATGCGCCGAAATATTTTACAAATAATGCCAAAAATTGCTATTGAAATACAAGGATACAATCACAGGTCTATTAAATTCATCCAAGAATCGTGAGGTTGCCAGAGGGGCAAGCCAGAGGTCTTCAAGAAACGAATGGACACTAGGTTGTAACATGACTATAAAGCAAAGAACGAGGGGAATTATTTGTGTTGATAGTAAATCGTGACAGAAATGCACACAAAATCATGATAATGTCACCATAGCATCAGAAATGCTCAGAAATGTTCACAAGATATCTCTTGAGATATCTTCTATCCCATGGCATTAGAAGACGTGCTATTGAAAATCATACTGATAAAGGTTCAGGGAAATTTCAAAGCTTGTTTTCAACGTAACCAAACTCTGCTTTCTCAAGGCATGGAGGCATGCAAATGACATTTTAAAAGAAAAAGAAAAAAGAGTCTTTGAAAACCTTGGTGGATATTCATAGGATATCAAAGTGGGGAAATGAACTAAGGGATGAGCCCAGTTCCAACTTACAGACTGCGGCTTTCCAAGATTTGCTCCGTGCTTAAATGCAGAATCGTCTTTTGCTGGTGACTCAGGCTTGCCACCTGTCTTTTTCTCGTTCCTAGCCTTGTTGAATATTACTGTGAATCCCTCAGCCGATGCTGGGTCATTGACATCCCACTCCCCAAATTTTGGCAATGGTCGATCTTTTTCCTGTGAAATTTGAAATTTCAAATGAGGATTCTTGCAGATTTTTTAGGGCAGAAAAGGCCACAGATTAAATTAGCTTTACATATAATGTCAAATGCAAAATCCTATAACCGAGGCATCAAAAGTTTTAGAGATGTGCAATATTCTTCTTTGCTATAATACTGATTTTTATAGCAGCAACATGGAATGTAACATTGAAAAGAAATTCAGATCTGTGTATAAATCAATAAAGAATACATATTTGTGTTGGAAATTACTTCAGTAATTACCTTAGTAGCCAATTAGCAACTTTGTGTAATACCCAGGTGTGTCACACAAGTAAGTAGAAGGCATCATGATTAAGTTATGCCAAGATATATTAGCATTCTAAGAGATAATCAACAATGCCCAATAAATAAATAGGCAAACACTACAGATATGGCATGAAGAGAACATTTTGTGGGGTGAATAATTCATGATGAAAGTGCTAAAAAATGGGCTCAAACAACGTAGATCAGAATCTCACAACCGCTCTTACGTACAAGCCTCTCGCATGCAGGGAGAAACAAACAGAGAAACAGAACAAAGTGCCAATAAATAGACAAAAAATTTCTCGATGTTGAAGAACTGAAAAACTCGAGATTTCATTTGCTCACCATGTGATCAAATAATTGTCACGAGAGTTGGGCCATATTTCTTTGGTATCAAAGTGAAGATCCATAATGGATATCAAGATGTTATCAAAATCTTCTTGATGGTGAAGAACCACAAAACTTGGGGTCGAGTCTAATACAAAGCTATGTTACATGGACTCAGGTACGGGTATGTATCCATGTGTTGGATGTGTCAAATCTTTAAATAGAATGACACACGGACACGGCTAAATATTCATTATATTAATTATTTTATTTTATTTTCTAAAGTAAAGTAATATTTTTATCTAATATAATGTTCAATATAGGCATTTAACTCATTTTCAAGTAATAATATAATGTAATTGAATGATTGGATATGCTTTTTAAATACATGTCCAACCAAAAGTGTCGGACACATATCCCATACCCATGTCTGAGGGATATGTGTCCGATACGGGTACTTCACTACTTTTGTAGAGTCCATGTAACAGACATACAACGAGATAGATGCGCCCAATACTACAGGCCTTTGAACAAACTGCCATCATATCCGTAAATGTGAGAAGATTGATATGACATCATATACATTTTAGTCATTAAATCTTAGTTTTTGATAACTTATGTCAGTTACTAAATTTTTTTTGAGTTATTTTTACTTTTTCAGAAAGTCTAAGGTTATACTAAAAGAATTGGGCCTTAAATTGCTTCTATGTTGATAAATAATAGTTTATATTTGGGAGCACATTGCACTCTCTCTCTCATCTATGCTCGTATCTCTCTGTCTGCATCTATCTATCTATCTATCTTCTCTAATGTTCAAGAGGCATAAGAAGTCACTTGTTTCTAAATTGAGTCGTAATGAATAAGTTCATCCTATACAAACAAAGTATTAAACCATTCTAAAAAAAAAAAAAATTAAAGTATGTCAACACGGGCACAACACATAAACCATTCGTATTCAAACAAATATAATGAAACTAAACATCAAACTATATATATATATATATATATATTACAGTTCAATAGAACCCAGATAACCTGCTATACTTGGATAATGTTACAATTGAACAGAGAAGCTGAAGATTTATCCCAAATCTACAAATGAAAAACCCTATGCATCTGGTCTGTGAGCTCAGCAGCAAGAGTAGAAGGAGCCAAAGGATCAGACAAAGGAATACACATGTGAACTATTATATAGAGGAGCGACCAAAATAAACATTTGAACTATGTATAGTACTTGAAATATGAGGAAAACAAAAAAGGTAATCAATACAGGGAACAAAAAGAAAAAACGAAACAAAAGAACCCAAATCGAATTGGGCGAATCTACTCTCCTGAAAGAAATGATGTAAAACCAAACGTGTGAAATCGATAGATACAAAGAACAAAAATCAGTATATATATATATATATATATATATAAATATTTGTATGTTTTCTAGGGAGAGAAAGTATGGTATCGTACCGCCATGATTTAGCAGTGAGAGAAGAGAAATCCTTTCAGAAAGTGTAGTCAAGTCGGCTCCTCTTCCTCTTCCTCTTCCTCTTCGATTGATGGATTCGTTCACCTCAAACAGACAATATGAGAGAGAGAGGAGTAGAGAGAGACGCACAGCTGGCTCTGAATGGGGCCACTGGTACAAGCATTCCATGTGAAGGGTGGATGTGGGGTCCACATTTCTACGGTCTTAACGGCGTTATTTTTTCATCAGAGCGCTGTAATAAGCGACAGCAAATCCGTAGCATTTGTCTTGATTTTGTCAAACTGAGATACTGAGGTTAGCTGATATATATGCACTCCTATATTTTGCACTCGTATATATGACATATGTATGCATATTTTATTTTGGTTATTAAAATCAAGTTGTATTTTTTCTACTTTCTAAAATGAATGAGGGTCTTTAAACAGCAAAGTGAATGCGTGTGAGTGTGTGCCAGTTTTTTTTTTTTTTTTTTTTTGCCAATAATAAAAAAAATCAGGTGATATTGAGTGTAATAAACTATATAATCAATAAAAAGTAATGAAAATGAAAATATTTGGGTAAAGAAATTAGCTTATATGGAGTGTTACACCTTACAAGACAATATAATAATAATAAAAAATAATACAAATGTTATTTATCCTCTTATCCTTCGCAACACTAGTGTTATATTATATGCTGTTTTTGTAAATGATTGGGTGCGTGTTGTCATTCTTGCGATCTCACAATTGCGTCACTTTGATTTTATTTTTTTACGTTTTGGTTCTGATTTTGATTTAGGAACCGTTAATTTGTAAATTTGTTCTAGATATATTAGGACCGAACCAAACCAAAAACTATATATATATATATATATATATATTATTATTATTATTATTATACAATTCGTTTCATGTTTGATCTCTCTTTTATTTTTGCATTAATTTACTTATTGTTTGAATACTTTTGAATTTTATACTTGTTTCAATATATATATATATATATATTAATAATTCAGGTTTACAAATATATTTTGTTTCTTGGTTGAGACTTGAGAGGCCAATAAATTTTTGTATCCATGTGATTGACAGGGAGTTTGTTTCAACAACATTTTTTTTTTCTTGAAAAATAAACAAATTATTCCCATAATATTATCATTATCAAAAGCGAACATGGTTTATAACCAAATCGAATTGGTCTTTTACAGTTTGATTCAATTCGGTTCTAAATGTTAACAGTTTTGATTTCGATTCTTCTAAAATAAATATGATTTTGTTCTGATTTAACGTGAAATAGCATCAAACTAATTCTTGTACAACCCTGGAGGTCGTGACTCCTTAACCCGTTTAAAACACACTTTTCATAGCTTTAGGCATATATGGATGTGTGTGTGTATATATATACATATATAAAGGTGAATGACAATCATTAAAGAAGTGAATAATAAAATACAACCCATGCCAAACATGTAATTACGATTATTTCATTTTACAAATGCACTGAAATGTGAAATGATGTGAGTTTCAAGATCAAATTTATGTTCAAACAATTTCAAACAATCTCAACAATTCAATTTTCTCCCATAAAAACATTTTACGTACATAATAGCGGGCTCAATAATTCAACAACTTTGAATAGACACTTATTGAGGTGAACTCCTATATTCGGATTCATATAATTTTTCCTACTCCAGAATATCTTAGGACCCGTTTTGCATGTGATATATTTTATGTATTATATTTTTGTTCAATACCAAAACAATCGTTTTGCTATAGGAATACTTTGGTAAAAAATCAGAACCATATTTGATAAAAAAAATTTATTTTGGGAAATTAAAAAATTTAGTTCCTTGTTATAGTACCGAAATATACAATATCACCAATGTTTAGTGATATGCGTTTTGTTCAAAAAAATTTGAACTATTTCAAATTAATATAAATGGTTCCAAACATGGCATGACTCAAATTTAAATACCAATATTAAAAAAATAATATCATAACATTTTCAAAACATGCCCTTAACAGGATAAAAAAAGGGTCCCATGTCATTTTGTGCCAACTGTGGCTCCTTATTGAAGGGTATAATACTATTAATACCAGTACTATACACACATAGACATATAGACGTAGACCTAATCCCATTCTTTAATGACAGAAAAATCTCTAGGACTGTGTGCTGGAGGAGCCTACCACATCTTAGGCTGGATTTTGTCTTTATCCTTGTTTTGTATTTTCTTTCTTTTTTCATTTTTATGGGGGAGTGTGCCCTTTTGAGTTTTTTTCCCTATGATATCCAACATTAAGGGGTAATCTTTTGTCCATCACATAATAAAACTCTACTACAGTAGTTGAATAAATAGTACAATCGACTTTGTAACCAAATTGCTGTGACAAATTTGAAGCCACACTTGCTTTCCACAAAGTGGTGCTTGTGATTGATATTTATAGCGCTAATGCCAATTCATTGATCATCATCATATGGGAGAGTGAAAAAGAGAACATAGATGACCCAGCAAGAGAGACAGAGACTGGAATATATTTAATTTATTCTAGAATCTAAATACACTTCTCATTTATTGTTGAAGAAAACAAAAATGAAAAAGGAAATGGAGAAAAAATTGCACAACATCCGACTTCGACGACGACGGAGATTCATCTTTCAGAAGGTCTCACCCTCGAAACTGGTCTGCAATAGAGACAGCTAAAACATTAGGGTGTTTAAAATTTAAATAAATTACATACTCCACACAATCACCAGATTATGAGCATGAAAAATGCCTGTTAAATCAGCTTCAAGAAAAAGAGACGCGTGACAATTGAAATCTTAATCAATCTGGACTTTCCCAGAACTATTTCAAATCTGAAATGCATTCTTGTTTATTAATATAGAAACCATTTCTTCCAGAAAAGCGTCACATGTCACACATAGCTAGAACTCCTTGCTTGCACTATAGGAAAAAGCATTTCCAGCTACAATACTGTTTCTTGCATATTACTCGCAATCACTCATTTTCAGTCATGAAATTACTTCAACGGACACAAATGGAGACACCTAATTTCTGACAGAAATTAGGTATGCAAGAAACAGTATTGTAGAAAGTGGACATAAAAACAGGAGAGAAGCATATGCATTTCTGATTCACTGTCATTGGTGTTTGATGCTACTGTAGCATTGTCTCTGGATGAACTTGGTTCTTTTACCACATAAACCATAGGAAACAAATGACTGATATTTTCATGTGGCAATGAGAATCTGAACTAATTTGTAGTATTAAGGATACTTACCGAGAAAAACAAAAGGCTTACATGAGCTCTACAACAAGGGCCGATGCACCCCCTCCACCATTGCAAACACCACCTACTCCATATTTCCCATTCTTCTGCTTCAGTGCCTGTAACATTACACTTGGACTAAGACAAAGCAAAAGAGAATATTCTTTATCCTACGTGGTAGAAGAAATACCAGCAAGATAAAATCAACTTAATAGACTTCCATGCACACCAAAGATTTTGGTCAATCTCCTAAAAATATGGTCTGACAGAAACTTAAGGGGAGAGAGAGATGGTGCTTTTTTACCCCAGAATCAAAACTCAGTAAATACTACATAGCGCTAAAATGTAACCCAGTAGACACATACCCCCAAAAGTGTGACCAAAATACGAGCTCCACTGCAGCCTAGAGGATGTCCCAAAGATACAGCTCCACCATGTACATTAACTTTTTCCTGCAAGTAACATAAGGTAGGTACTTAGCAAAGGACGATCCTCATGCCAATAGAAAATGAAGGGGACAGCAGCAAAGAGGATGACATAATGAAAGCTATATAAAATTCATCCTGAGCATAAAGTATATACAAGGTAATTTGGTCAAAGCATAACACAAAAACACACTAAGGTGCACACACGTGCGAACACATACAACAGAGAGAGAGAGAGAGAGGTTGAAGAACTCACTGGATTAAGTCCGAGCAGTTTTTGATTTGCAAGTGCCACAACCTACACACATCATGTGGTGAAAAGATGGTCAAACTCCATGACAAATTAGTAACTAGTTGCATAAAATGAGTCAGGCATGCAAGCTTACCGCGAAAGCTTCATTTATTTCATAGTAATCAACTTCAGAAGCCTCCAAGCCAGCGTTTGAAATAGCTTTTGGTATTGCAAGGGCCGGAGCAGTTGTAAATAACTCTGGTGTCTGCACATTTAATCTCATTTGAGCACCAAGAACATGACAATCAAAAGATAATGGGAGAGAAAATAAGTAATGTAAAAAAAACTATAATTTCTCTCTTTTTTAGTCACACTACTGATATTCTCATATTCACAGTGAATTCCAGCACTTCTTTCAGATTTATAAATACCAGTATAGTACCTGAGCAGCATCAGCATATCCAGTGATCTTTGCAATCACTTGCAAACCAAGCTTAAGCGCCTTCTCTCCACTGACTAAGACTAGTGCAGCAGCACCGTCACTGTGAATGACAGCAATTTACTTCAGTAAAAAACTTAAATTCGTCTTTTTATAAGATAAGCATGACAGAATATGAACCACGAAGTAACACTTCAATGGAATCTGAAAGATGGAACAATTATTTTCTGAATTTGAACTTAGCGTAGGGATGTCAACTAAGTTCATAACGAAATTCAAGAGTAAAAGTCTATGTTACATGAACTTGGTACATGTGTCGGGGGTAGGTTTGATTCCAAGAATCAGATGTGTCAAATCTCCAAACAAAAGTACACACAGACACTGCTACATATTCATATTATATAATATTTTAAATTTATTTTCTAGATAAAAATAATTGTTTTAGGACAATACTTAGATCCTCACCACTGAGGATGTACACAGTCCTCACCGTTGACGTGGGCCAATAATGGACATGTCTTATTTCATTACCAAATCAGAGATGGTGTATGTACTCACCATCTCTGATTTGGTAAATGCGTATGTACCCGACCATCTCTGATTAGGTAATTAAAGAGGTTGTATCTATTTATTATTGGTCTACATTAGCGGTAAGGACAATGTACATCCTCATTAGTAAGGACCTAAGTATTGTCCATTGTTTTATGTAACATAGTGATCAATATAGCATTTCAGCCATTTTAAAGTAATAACATAGCAAAAATATTAAACTATTGGATATGTTTTTAGGTGCACGTCTAACCTAAAGAGTCAGACACATATCTTTACCCCATGTCTGAGTATTGTGTGGGTACTTCACCGACTTTTGAAGAGGTCATGTAACATAGGTAAAAGTCTAAGCATTTTTATTGGAACGATCAGACAATAATATGATTGAAAGAACCCTACAGCACCAAATTTGATGATTTTCAGTTAAACTGCCACTGTTTAGCGATTTAAGGTTATTCTAGCTAGATCCATGGTATGACTTAGCTCTTCCATTTCTCAGAGGAAATCATAATTGACCTATACAAAATGGTATTTTAGTGCTATTAACAATAATGCGGTTTCTTGTTGCAAATAAATAAAGTTGCAATAAAAATTAAGGATCCAATATGAAAAATAAGGTAGTGAACCTTATACTAGAAGCATTTCCAGCAGTAACAGAGCCCCCATTCGGCTTGAAACTTGGTCGGAGCTTTCTTAATTTTGCAGCGTCAAACTAGTGAGACACAGAAGCAACAAATGATAGCGTCGTTAATAATATCAATGTAATGTCCCCCAAATATACACAAATATACATATACCTATTTTCTTGATCAATTGCATGTACATAAGTAACTTATTGGAACAAAAAAATGCATGTAAACATGCATGACAATTGACAAATGCATACATGATGTGCATATGAGATAAGTACATAAATATTCACCTTTCCAAGACCTTCATCCTTATCAACAATTGTAGATGGTTTTCCTCTTCCCCCGGGAACTTCAACCTGCATGGTACAAAAGTGATGCTTTACATTGGTAACTTACAACAGATTGCATTGGTTCAATATATTAATTAAGGACCATCGGTCTTACCGGGACTATTTCCCATGCAAAAGCACCACTTTCTTGAGCAGCAATACCACGCTCGAAGCTCTGAATGGCATAATTATCCTGCATGATTAACACGGGGCATAAGCAGTAGAACTTGAATGTGCGAACAATGATATATTTTGTATGATTATGATTTTTGTAAAGGAGATCCATGAGATAAACGAATTGAAAATAAAGAGAATTTTATCATAAGAAACAACCACCACAACCAAGCCTTTTCCCATAAGGCCATAGCCTCAGTAAATCCACATGCTGTCATATCTTTCTTTACTAACTCTACCAGTCTACCCACATTAACTTTGGCCTTCCACTTCCTCTAGTATTACCTTCAATGTGGACTATGTCACTTTTCCTAACCGGAGCACTAAAAGGTCTTCTTTGCTCATATACAAACCATCTTAACCTTTTTCTCTCATTTTATCTGCAATTGGTGCTACTCCAACCATTTCCCAAATGTGATCATTTCTAATTCTATCCTTTCTAGTCTTAGTGCACATCCATCTCAACATTCACATTTATGCTACCCTCACTTTACGCACATGTTGGTTCCTGGCTGCCCAACATTCGGTGTCATAAATGTTGTTTCCCAGCTGTTAGACCAGCCATACTTTATGGTACCGAATGTTGCCGAATGTTGGGCAGCCAGGAAACAACATTTGCATAAAGTGATTAAATTTATCATAAGAAATGAAGAAAATTAGAAGTCAAAGTAAATTGGTAAGAGAGCTGAAGATTAATTTTCTTGAAGCTTTTAGTGATTAAATTGTGAGCACCAAAAAGGAAGGACCAAGATAAACAAGAAAACAGAAGTTTAATACAAGAATTGTTATGTGCTGGTAGTTACCACATTCAAAAATGAAGCAACAGGAAATTTTAATGCAGTATATTAATGGAACTCAATTAAGGTTCACTCAGTGAATTTCTATTTTGTATTCAACAGGAGGATTCAAAGCAAAACCTGTTCCTCTCTTGATATTGTATGTTGATCAGCACATAATTCAGCACAATTTCCCATGCCATAATCATTATAAACATCCCATAACCCATCTTTCAACATTCCATCAACAAGAGAATCATGTCCAAGTCGAGATCCTTTCCTGCAATGAAGTATAGAGCATCAGAATAGGTTGCAACATTGTTCATTTGGAAGCATTATGAATTTCTGAAATCAAAGGTGCAACAATGATAAATATACCAAGTCTACAAGCCCAACCTCCCAAAATCCCTCTGGAGTGTTTATATGAAAAGTAACTAAATGTATGTATTGAGACACAATTACAAACCTATTGGTCATCCCTATGGGTATGGGTGTCAATTCTGACATGTGTAAAGAATATTTAAATCATCAGAATTTGAATTTTAGAGATGCGGCAAGTTTGATAAGAAGTAATTATTGAACAACAATTTATTAAGCTTATAATGTTGTTTTTATATAAGTAATAGCATAGTGCATATGATTGGCAGATCATATCACTGAAAACTATAAAGAAAAGTGTGTTGTACAAGAACCTATGGGGTGGTACCATCTGACACATTCAATGTGTTTGATGTGCATAGATTCTGGCGTCATGAAAATTAAAACCGTATAAATAAGAAGGGACACTAACCTTGCTTCTGCCAGGTATTTAGGCACATTGGACATGCTTTCCATGCCACCAGCCACAACAACATCATTGATACCCAACTGAATACTTTGTGCAGCGAGCATTGTTGCTGCAATAACCAAAAAAAGAAACAAATTGTTACATCCCATTAACATCAACAAGATTTTCTTATCAAAACAAAGTAGATTTTTTTATTTTTTTATTTCAAAGAAAAGAGGTTGCACCTTTCATTCCTGATGCACAAACTTTATTGATGGTGGTGCAGACCACTGTGTTGGGTATTCCTGCACCCAATGCTGCTTGCCTTGCAGGAGCTTGACCTAAATTGGCACTCAAAACATTTCCAAAGAAAACCTCTTGTACAAGTGACGGGTCGACGTTTGCCTTTTTAAGAGCACCTGTAAGTTGACATTAAAAGCATTATAATAGAGAAAAAAGGAATTTTTTGAGCAACCAATAAATCCAGCATTGAAACAGAATAGAAAGGTGGTGTGCTCACCTTCAATAACTATAGATCCAAGCTTGGTGGCTGGTATAGATGAAAGGGTACCAAGAAAGGCTCCCATAGGCGTACGTGCAATGCCAACAATACAAACATCTGTACCAAAAATGGGGGGAAAAAAGAAAGAAAGAAGAAAGAAAAACACATAAGTTGGGATAATCAACAAACAGATTTTGAAAAACAAATTGAAACTTAAAATCCCCTTACATATCTCGATTGTAACATGCTAGTACCAGAGCAAAGTAACTACTTTTTAGGCACGGAACAAGCATGGGAAAATATGCTATTTCCTCTAAGGGAAGGACAACCAAACTACTGTCACCAGTTTTAGAGTGAAATGCAATAGAGTCATTGTAGTTCTAATTCAGCGAATCTTGCACTATTAAATTTAAAGAGATATACTTAAACATCAAGAGGGTAACATTTAAAAATATCATATGTATATGTCTGTGTGTACATTGTATAAGTATATATGTGTGCAACTGTGCATGTATTTAGTAATCCATAAGGGATGAGCAGAGACATATAGAGCAAATTCTACCGCAGACTAATTTTTTGCTTGTAAATAGAAGGCCAAGCATCAGCAATTTGCTTCTGGAGTCAAAAAGAAAAAAATGGTCAATCTATCTACAAGGTTTATTTTTAACAAATGGTAACAACTTTTCTTTATGAATTTTAGTAACACTTCAGCATAACCAAATTGTGGAATTCAGTAACCAAAGACTGTAGGCCTGTAGCCTAGTGGAATCTTCTCTATCTTCGAAAGTGGAAGGTGAGGGTTCAACTCCGGACAGGGTCAAAAGGGTGTGTGAGTTTCTTGCCAAGAAACAAAAAAAAAGGTGGAATGTAGTCATGATGTTTAAAAGCATAAACATATAAAGAAAGGTACTTAAAATTACAAAAATAAAAAATAAAATAAGAAAGAAAGTAAAGCATCATCAACTATTGCAGGGCATAAATCAAATACCATGAACTTTTAAATTTATAAAAACAAAGCAAATATGAGACCTCTTGGCTTTAGTGATTCAGAAGATGCTGCTGCTGGTGCCATGATTGTATATGCAGATTAGATATCTGTATCAGCCAAAAAAAACCCTCTTAGATGTTTGTTTTAGGAAAAAAAAATAAGAAAACAGAGTACCACTAAGATTTAAGCTCAAGCTTAACATGCACCTCTTGAAATAGTACAACCAGTGTCCAAAAATTACATTTCATAGAAGAAAAATAGGGAGCTTTGACATCTAATGTAGATAAATAAATTAAAGACCAATTTTCTTACTAGATTTCATTCAGCAATCTCCTTTTTTTTTTTTTCCCTAAATAGAAAATGAGTTAAAGAATTTTTCTTTCCTTTTTATCTTGTTTTCCCGAGAACCAAACAGAATTTCAACAAGAACTTTCTTTATTGAAAAGACAAGAAGAAAAAAGAAAGAAAGCCTAAACACAAAGTTAAATTCAGATAATAAAACCAGCGTTTTACGAAGCTATGTAAAAGTCACCATTTTTTAAACAAAAGCGTCCAAAATAGAATTTTTTTTTTTTTTTTTTTTGGGAAAAATACATATGGATCTAATATGTTCGTTTTTTAAAAAAATTCATATCTGGTAGTGATTACTAACTTTTATCTAATGGAATTCGAACTCCAAAAAATAACTAGATCAGTAGAAATCGCGACTAAGTGAAGAAAATGCGAGAAAAAGATCAGTGAAAAATCAGAGAGAAAATTGAGCTTCCAGATCAAGATTCAGAAAAAGATAGAATACACCTATGTGATTAGAACAAAGAGTTATACCTCTCTCACTTGGAATTCTGAGATCAACAGGCCAAGCGCTATGTGCTTTTTTGTGTGTGTGAGAGAGGAAAGAGAGTTGGTCAGCTGCAAATCGAAGTGGAGTGCGATATATAGAGAAGGGTGGAGCTGCACGAGACACTGGAAAGCATTAGATTACTAAAAAGCCCTCGTAGATGGACTTTATTTTATGAAAAGAATCATCACCTTTGATATTTTATAAATATTTTTTAGGTAAGATAATTGAAAAATAAAATAAGGTTAATGTCAACCATCATAGAAATTTAGGTGATTTTATTTTTAATTCTCAGCCTTAATTAGGAATTCAAATTCCATTGTTGATCCAAACAAAAAAAATCCTACCACTGTATGAGGAGATGCCCTTTTTTTAGAATTGATGTGACATAATATTTTTTAATAAATATAAAAATTAAGAAAAAAAACAACGACCTATTAATCTATTTTCTTAATCTGGTCCTAAATAAAAATAATTCATTACCATGTGTAGATTAAAGGTAAGACAAATGTAAATTCTAAGAGTGTTAAAGTATAAATATTGTTGGCTCCCTGAATTTCTTGTCAAAGAAAAATAAAACCAAAATCAAAATTATTAGAACCATTTGATAAACCTTAAACTTCATAATTTAATTTAATTTCAATTAAATTAAAATTGGTCCAGCAAAACGACACAAATCAGGATCTAGCTTATGACTTCTTATACTTATTAAATTTTAAAACTTTCACTAAAAATGATATGAAAGCAGCCAAAACTTTCCTACATTTATCCAAACAATAGGAAACAACCCCCTAATATAATTATCCATTTTTAAACGATATAGCTTTTATCAAAATAACTAATTTTGAATTTTTAATACGGGGCAAAAAAAAAAAAAAAACAAATGTCATGCAAGAGGAGCAAAAGGAGTGAAAGTGGAATTACCCAAACTATTAGAGGGATTATTACATATAAATGGTACTAATGATCTATATTTATCATTTGATGGAGTCAAAGTTTTATTGTTTCGAAAAAATGAAACATAAAAAAATACTGTTTACCCTCACTGAGGTATCACTTTTAAGCATACATATATCACTTTTTGTGCATGCAGATACTACTTTTTGTAATTAGGTATTACTTTTTGTTTTGCACAAAAAATGGTACCTATGTAAATAAAAGTGGTACCATACCCAAAATAAAAGTGATATCTCCATGCCCAAAATAAAGTGGTACATGTGCATAAAAAGTGGTATCTATGTGCCTAAATGTGATACCTCGGTAGGGGTAAATAGTATTTTTTTATGTTCACATCAATATTTTAGTCAATTTTATTTTTCAAAAAACTTTAATTTTATTAAATTAAATAGTAAATATGAGTCGTTAGTAGTATTTATATGTAATAATTTCTATATATATATATATATAACATAAAAATTGGTACCTGTCACACTTCAATCAAGAGAATGGACTAGGCTTGTCAATTTTCACCTACAAAATGGTGCAATAAATACATTAATGAAAGGGGTATTATCAAGTGAGTTTGATGGAGAGTACGGGAAAAAAAAAAAAAATTGTAATTATTTGGTGAATGTTATTCGAAAAGAAAGTGTGTCTGATGATGATGAGTCATGAAATATTCAAATAATTTAATTTTTTTTTTCACCATCACAGCATGCCATAGGTGGAATATTGTTGTAGATTAGGTTTTAATGACATCTTAGAAGTTAACGTAGCCGCCTTATAATACAAGTGGCATGTGCAAAAACTGACATTGTTGAAGATTCTGATGCTTGTATTATTATTTACGGAGTATTATAATCCTTGACAAATTAGTTGACAAAAAATAGTAGAGCATTTGCTTAATCTCATCACGTAATTGTAATGGTGAATTATTCTCATTTTTGTCTTTGCATTACTTATCTTGACGTGCACCCTTTTTTTACTTGTAGAATGGTTGAGACATGGTTGAATGAGTTTTCACAAAGTGAAACCATTTTAATTTTTTCAAAATAAAAAAATAATAATAATAATTTAATAATTGAAAAGCTTAGAAGGAAAATACCAAGCATTATATCAGTTGAGGGGTCACATCTCCTAAAACAAGGTTTTTGATTTGACTTCTCTTCTATCTTGTCAATTTTAACCAGATTTTTGTAATGGGTGGACGTTTTTATCCCCGACTCAAAAACTCAATCTATATATTTATTTTAATTTTTATTTGAATTTGATGTGAGACATTCAAAATATTATTCTCCACTTGAATTCGTAATGTCTTTATTGTGATTAAGCTACCGTGCCCATTAGGAGTGACAACTCGAACTTGGTGTGATACCGAGTTAAGAATTAAATCTGACATGATACCAATTATAACGGGTGAATACTCGCTCGTTAAAACAAAAACTTAATTTATTGAGTAATACTTCATACCTATCCACTTGTACAGATTTCAATTCCCGGACAAAATTTTGACAAACATATATACATCAAACAAATATTAGTAATTCAGATTTATTATTATTTTTATTATTATTATTATTTTTTGGGATAGCAAATTTAACAAGCTTGAATGCTACTGTACAATAGTTGTGAAAAAAGCAAAAAAGAAATGTGTTTCTTTTTGCTCTCAATAGACATGTGATGCAGATTCAGCCCAGACTAGCATTTTTACCAACCGCCCAAGTTGCTGCTAATAAAATAAGGCTAAGTTGTTGGGAAACATCCACTTCATCACATTTCAGGCACAAATATTATTGTGTAAAGCGTTTCTGAATTGATTTTGACTTTTGATTTTAGACTTTTTCCAAGCTGTATAACTCATACTTGACTCCTCACCAACCACTTCGGCCAAGTGTACAATATTTTTGTGCAAACAATAGTTTTACGTGCCTGTACGCTCCTCATATTTTGAGTCAAAAATCTTAGGAATATAAAATATATATATATATAAACATTTGTTACGAGGTCATTTGAACACCAAAAAATATTCAAAGCAATACTAGGGAGCCATTGTTGACTTAATCAGCTGTCTTCAGTGGACTCTGCCAGCTTTTCAACTGACCTTTCATTTCTTGCACTTTCAACAACTAAACAAAGCTTGCTAGTGTGGGAAATGGGAAATTCTCTCGTCTCAACAAATTTTTGCTTTTCTTTTCCCAGGGTTGACCACATAAAATATTGTTTAATTGTCCTTCTTTTTTAAATATATTTTTTTAAACCTATACAAATTGAAAAATTAATTTATTATTGATTTGGTCCATAAAGAAATTTTGATCGACGGATCGATTATCAATTATAAATCAACCCGTTTTGCAATAACACAAATCACTTCTACATAGGGCTATTAGTCGGGTAAGTCGAACCACTTGGACTCCTAGTTTATGGCAATTTAGGTATCTAGGATCATCTTTTAGAATGATAAGAGGGTTTATAAAGGATTTGTTGAATTGTCACTAAAACTAAAATGTGAGGTTCATAAAATAAAGCTTGCGAGAATTAAAGCGAGATAAAATACGAGTAAAGACAACTGGGGAAGTGAATTTGCCTCCATCCCTCTACACATGCTAGATATAGAACTAATTTAAGGGATAAACAATATATAATGGTCAAGAATTATATAGCGACACATAGTTGCCATATAATTAACAAGAAGTACATTAAGCCTTAGACAAGCATAATCCACCAAAGGTGAATGTGTTTAAACTACTTAAACTAGGATGCAACTTAAACACACTAACTTGGATGAAAGATTATCAAAAATGATAAAGCACATGAAGGTAGAGATTAAGCATACACCATCAAAGGATTTTCGTAAGTAATGATCTATCAAAGTCACCTATCAACATGCCATTAAACCATTTCATAACCTTATTTCCATTGTCACCATGAAAACATAAGCAATATGATTAATGTAAGACATTACCTAGAACAAGATAATCAACTTAGAAAAATCATTCATATATATATCAACATCCATTACAACCAATGAAGTGCTCTTGGTCATGAAAAGACCATAGAATATACATTGTAATCCCCAAAATAGAACTATACTAGAACATGTTTACAAGGGGGAGGGGCTTCATCACCTCCCTAAAGGAAGAATTAGTTACCCATGGATGCCCTAGAGGAAGGAAGAAGCTTGCCTCCAACCTCCATTTTCGAGCTTCCTCTTTGTAGCCACAAGAACTCTATCATCTTCTTCTTTCTCTCTCCAAAAATCTTGCAAAATGATATCTGATGATGATATCCAAGCTCTACCTCTCCTTTTGTAGACATCCTCTCACCAAACCCCTCAAAAACCGAGCTTCATCTCCCCCCAAAAGAACATTTCCAACCACTCCATAAAAGAGGGGAACCAAAAATTGAGGGAATCAAGGAACAAATGGGCTGCAATGTTCCTTCGAGCGCTTGAAGAAGGGGCTTCGAGTGCTTGAAGTAAGCCGTGGAGTAGACTGTCAAGATTTCGAGCGCTCGAAGGGGTCTTCGAGCGCTCGAAAATGCACCAGCATGCTCTTCTCCTTCTGCTGCTCTGAATTCTTCTTCATGCATTCATCCTTGGCTTATTGAGAATCTTTTACTCGTTTTTCATTGTAGGAAGTTTTCATAAACCCTCTTTAACGGTTTCCTCTTGGAAATCAAAAGACAAAAAGGCTCGGAGTGGCTTGATCTTCAAGAAGGCCTTCAAAAGCTTCCATTTTACTTCCTTTTGGAGGATAAACCTGAAAATACACAAAAATATGGAATTAGAGATAATCTATACAAATAAACCATAAACGGACTTAACTAATGCAAGTAAGGGTGCTTGAATATGCAATATTCAACGCTTATCACACCCCCAAACTTACATTTTGCTAGTCCCATAGCAAAACAAAAATGAAGTATTAACTACAATGACAACCATTGGATTGCTTTCCAAAAATATCAACCATAGCAAAATGAAATACACACATAGCTCAAATACAACTTGAAACAAACAAAGGACTAGAGACGGGGTCATTAAGCAGACTACCATGCATATATGAAGCATTGATACAAAAGTTTGCTAACACGTTTCAACATACATGCATCAGCATCCTAGTCTATATAAATAACTCAATTGTCATCTCTTGAATGGAAATCAACTCTAACTTCAGTGAAAGTGGATTG